TTAGTATGCTGAATCCAAATGAAAAACAAAAGCAATTTATTTTTCTACCTCTTTACACATAGAAATTAAATGGTGGCTAGAAACTGAAGGTTTCAAGTTATAAATGGAAACTGTGTTTTTATTAAATGTGAAAACATGTACCCAAGAAAAGGGCATACACCTTTATACATTTTTATGGCAAGTTTTCCCATTACATGAGAGGCTTCCTTATATATTTTAAACTTAAATGATGAACAGCAACCAAACATAAGTTTGGATAAAAACTGCACAGCTGTTAACTGTTTTAATGAAAAAATATGAATGCACAATTTAAAACAAGATGAAAGGACATGTTCACAGAAATATTTTAGGTAGCTGTGGAGAGAGGTCTGATAAATTAAGAAACAGAAGAAAGCCAAATCCCATTCCAGGTATCAATTATATTGATGCATAAATACACTCTTGCATTGCTAAAAATTTTAAAAATAAAGTGTCTATTTCAGGGAAGACTCAAGAATGAACAATTTAGGCTCCAATCCTACAAATTCTTATACATATGCTTAACTTTAAGCCTGTGAGGCATCCCATTGACTTCATGTGTTTGCAGGATGAGAGTTTTAGTATGTTTTTTGAGGGGAAGGTCCAATTATTAATTCTCATTTTATTACTGTAACAAGTTGCAAATATGATAATATTGGTAAATTGAACTACCATTAATGTGTGCAGTCAAAGCAATGATTTGTATCTATGAAGAGCTCATTGGACTCTTTCCCTTCATAACCAATATCATTTTGTTGATTTCAACCTGCCCTTTACATTTTGCTGTACCTATGTATAGGGCTAAATAAGATTACAAGCCAAATAAAACCATGTATTTCTGGCAATTGGGAGTGGAATCCTGCAAACCTGCTCCTCACATGAGCAGTTGCATCAAGACTTCAATGGGACAACTTGCATGAGTAAGGGCTTGCACCACCAGACCAATAATGTCTCGAGAAACAAAGTATCAGAGGGGTAGCCCTGTTAGTCTGGATCTGTAAAAAGCGACAAAGAGTCCTATGGCACCTTATAGACTAGCAGACGTATTGGAGCATAAGCTTTCGTGGGTGAATACCCACTTCGTCTGACGAAGTGGGTATTCACCCACTTTCACTCACAAAAGCTTATGCTCCAGTACGTCTGTTAGTCTATAAGGTACCATAGGACTCTTTGTTGCTTTTTGGAGAAACAAAGGAAGTTACACACACAACGTATTTAAGCATAACTCATTTACTGAAGGGCTGAACTGAATTTTTTATATCTGTTTTTTGCACCATGAAATATTGAGATAGATCCTTAATGTGATCATTTGCTAATATTAAATTGCCACAAACATCAGCTTGTTTGAAGAGAAATGAGTTGTCACTTGTAAGGAAGGGAGTTTAACAGTTTTTATTTGCAAGCTATGTGCTTCAACATGATTCCCACCCTCAAAGCCACCCAAACAAACCCAAATGGGATTGGAACAGGTGCTATCAGGTGTTATATCATCACTTGCAATTTACTTCTGCTGGCAATTTTATTTTTGCATCATTAATCTCTAAATTTGTTGTGCCCTCCAACTTTCAATGTATAGGACCAAATCTTGCAGAATTTAGCTCATATTTAACAACAACAAAAAATACTAGAGTTGACTAGGAACAAAGCTAAAATACTTAACAAATAATTAAATGATCCAGGAAATAGACATCAGTGCAATATTTATCAGCTGAAAAGTCATAACAAGGGGAAAAATTAAAATATACAACTCTGAATATTGTAACAGCTGGTCCCTCATTAAATTATCCATCTAATTCCAAACCCTCTCCACATACAGTATTTCATCTGCTAATCATGGGACGGGAAAATCCAAATGTGTTTTAGCCACTGTAGGAATTTGTTATCCGTTTGATGCAGAGATTCCAGCCTCATGGAGTATGGTGTCCAGTTTTGGGCACCACACTTCAAGAAAGATATGGACAAACTGGAGAGAGCTCACAGGAGAGCAACACAAATGCTCAAAGGTTTAGAAAACCTGACCTATGAGGAAAGGTTTAAAAAAATTGGGCATGTTTAGTCTTGAGAAAAGAAGACTTGGGGGGGACCTGATAACAGTCTTCAAATTTGTTAAGGGCTGTTATAAAGAGGATGGTGAATAATTGTTCTCTGTGTCCACTAAAGTTAGGGCAAGAAGTAATTGGATTAATCTGCAGCAAGGGAGATGAGGTTATATATTAGGAAAATCTTTCAAATTACAAGGATAGTTAATTACTGCAATAGGTTATTAAGCATTGCTGTGGAATCCCTGTCATGGAAGGTTTTTAAGAACAGGTTTAACAAACACCTGCCACAGATGGTCTAGGAATACTTAGTCTTGCCTCTCGAGGTCCCTTACAACCCCATATTTCTATGATTCACACAGAAGAAAGTTTTTAATCACCTCTGCTAGTTTGATCTACTCAAAATAATTAATTAAACTAAAATATTTCCCTTTAAAATACAAAGCTCATAGGGGGATGGATGTCTCAGGCTCATGAATGGGTTACCTAGGGAGGTGGTGGAATCTCCTTCCTTAGAGGTTTTTAAGGTCAGGCTTGACAAAGCCCTGGCTGGGATGATTTAGTTGGGAATTGGTCCTGCTTTGAGCAGGGGTTGGACTAGGTGACCTCCTGAGGTCCCTTCCAACCCTGATATTCTATGATTCTATGAAAAATGGTGCTTTTCACCTATGGGTCACTACTTCAAAACTGGAGCAGGTTGGTGACTGAAAGTTATTACTATAGTTGATTGTCTAATAAGCTGGTGGTCCAATTCCTAATGAGCAGGCGTCCAAATAAAAATTGGCAACTGTGGCACTCAGCAGAGAGGCTAATGACTTCATGAACTGGAGACAGAACTACTCTCTCTCTTTTAAATGGTAGGCCCTCCAGATCAAGTTTGAGGCACATTACCGGGGAAAATGGGGTGCACAAAAGACTAGTCTCAAGGGCTTTCAAACCCAGCACCTTTCATGAACTCTAAATTCATTTTAAAATAAATTGAGGAGCAACACAGAGCTCAACTTCAGTTTTTCACACACAAATTTACTAGCAAAATAATATAAGTGCCCTATCTATATATAAAAATATTAAGGTACTTTTTAATGTACATTTCAGGCAGCCTATTGTTCTTGTGATTCACAACCTCTTTCACCCACTCCTTTTTTTAATGAATATGGAAGGGGAGTTATTGTCTCCACAAAACCTTTGTGTGGAAATAAAATACGGACATGAAGATTCCTTTGCACATGTTTACACAGACAGTGAAATCCTGCTTCCATTGAAATCAGAGGCAAAACTCCTACTCACTTCAATAGGACCAGGATTTCAACCGGCATCTCTACAGAGAGAAAGAAAACCACTATTCCCTGCTTTCGATGTTCTAAGGCTCCATCTCGTCTCTTAAAATATTTTACTGGAAAAAAAAGTGTTTGGCAAATCAGGCCTTACTCTTCTCCATATTAAAAAAAAACATAAAAAGACCACTATCTTAAAACCTATTGCGAAAGCTGACCTGTTGCCCTTAAATTAGCATTACTTCCAGATCTGGACAATTTCCATCTGACAATGCTGGTGCATAAGCATAAAAACAAACAGCAGTTACAGTACACATCAACAGCTAGTGCATGAGAAACACCAGTGGGAGGAAAAAAATCAGTGCTTGGAAATAAAATTTTCTTCCATCTCAATTTTGGTCTCTATACTGCAAACTTATAAAAGAGTTTTATAAGCAAAAGAAAGTTAACAAACAAAAAACCTCATACAAATTTGAAAGCTAAAGGCATCCTTTGAATATGTTGCATATTTAGCAAATACAACTATTATTCCCTGTGGCTTAGCTACAGAACGTGTATATGTATGACATAAGTACCTGATCCTGCCAACATGTATGTAACTTTACTTAAGTATGTAAACTTTTGCAGGATCATTCTCTAAAAAAGGAAGGTAAGAGTAGCAGAGATCATTACTTATGTGTGATGAAGTTTGTCATAACAATTCAAGAGATGCATCGGATGATCAAATGGGTCTTTTTCCATCTTTAATTATGTACAGCCCTGATCTTTCAAAGACAAGCACATGTGCAACTTTACATAGCTGAGTGGTCTCACTGGAGTCTATGTGACTAATAAGGTGTGAAAAGATATGTACATGTTTAATTCTTTGCAGGACTAGGGTCTATAATTCCAACCTAAGTACTGTCGGGGCTGATCCTGATTCCTTTTAAGCCAATGACAAAATTCTAAGTGACTTTAGTGACGCAGGATCTATCCCATTACTCAGCAATTTAATTTAACACAAATGTTTTGGAAGGGATGGAAAAGGAGGCGAGGAGACAAGAAGTTGAGAGGTTGTGCTACAAGTGGGATAAAATTGGGATAAAAATCACAGGAAAAAACTCTATGTTGCCAGAAGCATATCATATTATTGTAGGTAAACTAGGAGAAAATATTTTGACAGTGATTTTACCTTTAAAATTATAGTCCTGAAAATTTAGTACATTTTTGACAGGTCTATTTTAAAGGATATGATTTCTATTTTATATTCTGGTTTGCATCATTTTTATTTAATGGTCATATTTATTCCCCCATGAAGGAATCCATAAACTAAACTAATGTAAAACTAAAAGAGAAAAAGAAAATGTATAAACAAAAGGTGTTATTTCATTTATCTGGTGAATACTAAGGTTGTGAGCACATTTAACTTTACTACTGTGAGTAGTCCCACTGAAATCAATGAGACTACTCACAGTAGTCAAGTTAAATACAAGTGTGTTGCAGGATTGGAAATTTTGAAATTTTTTGTAAGTGAAACTGATTAGTGCTCCAAGGATCTTTTTGAGAGACAGCAAAAAACTATTTGTTTTCAAAAGATGAATAAATGAACTCAAACTCAATAATAACCGGGAGTAAAGTAAACAGAACCATATCAATACTTTTATCTAATTTAAGGTTACAAATTATCATTATTATTTTTAACTAAAGGTAAACTTTTCATAATTTTTTAAAAATTTGAATACAATTTCAAGTAACAGCCTGGTGCCTAAGAAGCGATTAATCTTTATGTAGTTCCAACAGTGGGGTAAAAGACATTCTAATTTTATTCATTTATATGCTCATAGGGAATTTGATCTACTCCTGACACATGCAGTGATGTGCGTCTACCTGCACACTGACCCCATAACATGCAACCCTTTATCACAATTTAAGGGCAAAATTCTCCTCACAAATCTGCAGGTGAGCACCATATTTTGGGGATGTCCCACTGAGGTGTGAATTTTGAGGGGTGAACATTGCTTGGTATCTGCAGAATGAATTTAATTCAGACACTTTGTGCCTGAGGTACTGAACATCACCCTTTTTCATACCACGCAGGTACAACCTTTCATTTTCTTGGGGAAGATGGGAGTCATTAGGAATTAAATGTAATATAATGTTAGATTTTAGAGCTTTACATTAGAGCTTTACCCCCCTTTTCTTTGACTGTACAGGAAGCTGTATAATCACTCTCCCTTTTTCCACCCCAATCTCCAAAGTTTGGAAATACAGTATACTGATTTCCTTATAAAAAGGCTCAGACCTCTGTTCCTATTCTGTTTCTGGTATAAGGGCATGAGCCTTCCAACATTCCTTGCATGGGAAGTACCCACAAAATGCTCAGTCATTTTGGTTCACTAATGTGATTATGTACTGGAAAGTTTCTAAGGAGTTCAGCTCTAGTATTCCTGGTGAAAAATAACTAATCAAGTACAGTCCTGATTATCTGAATCGCTCGGCAGACCCTAAATATGTTCTGATAATCAGGACTATGGATAATTGGGAGGCAGCCAAGAATCAATAGAAAAGGGAGACAAGCTGGTAGTTTGTTAGAAAAAGAGGTTTCAGTAATAGGGATTGTATTGTATTTCTACTTGCCACCACGCACATGGAAGATCAGGCTAAAGGGAAAAAACTTATTTCCAAGGACTGAAGAAGCCCTGCCACGTTATAGCTAGGTTCTATAGCAATTGGAGCTCACTTACAGCAACTTTAAAATACTCTGAATAAACTGAGAATCTTGTATCAAACTCAGACTTCCATTTAAAGTAGATTTTGCAGATATTAGGCCTCATTTGAGGAAGAAAAATAACCTTCAGTGCTCCTATTTTTAAAGGTACTAAGCACAAAAACAAAACAAAACAAAAACACAAAAAAACCCAACCACCACCAAAGCCAGGTGACAAATTATTAAATTTCCCCACAAAATTAAGATGAGCTTTCTTCTATTTCTTGAGAGAGTACAGTTTGAGATTCACAGGGTAACTGGTATGAAATACAAGTTTATGAAAGCCCTCTTATGAGCAATTTTATTCCTATCCATGATGGCAGACATTTACAAAATCAGAACAATTGACCATTTGGGTTCACCTTAAAAAATAACTTATAAAGCAGTGATATACGCAGCACAGAACAGTTCGGGGGGGAGAGGGAACGCAAATTTTAATAGTTAAAATGTAAACGTGAAAAAAAGATGGAATAAAAGTCTCTATTTCTTATTTCTACTTAAGATGTCATGTGATAATATTTTACAATGTCCTGCAGGTCTATATATGTATATGTGTGTGTATGTATGTCAATATAACATATCCACACACATATACATCTATCCGCACTTATACATACACAGATAATTGTTTGCAGTTCACTCTTGGGCAGTTCTGTTATGCCACTCTTTACAGTTGTTTGAATCATGTTTGGACCCACTTTCTTCACAAAACTGGGGAGATGGTAGGAAAAGATGGTGGGTCTGGTTGTGTCTGAGATCCTTTTGTTAAACTGTACACTGGGACTTGTAATTTTCTTCTGTAGTAGCTCTCTGAAGAGGGCCAACTCACTGCGGTCTTCATGAGGAGACTTAGTATGGATCACACACTCATTGTCATGCTGGGGGAGTACTGAAAAAGAGGAATCCACATTTTAACAACAATTATTTCATAGGTTACTAACATTCCGCCAGAAGCATAACAACAGTGAGCTTGAATTTCAGGTCAGTATTCTCTTTCTCACACAGGTGATTTTAATCTTATCCTATAGTTGTACTGTAGCTTGTGTCAGGACTGCAGTGTAATTTGTAATGCATTTTACATTCATTGTATATATAACTTTATTTATTATAAAATACAACATAACTTATGAAATGAATAAGTAAAACTAGATTGGAGGGCAGCTTTCAGTTGCAGCTAAAGCTCCAGAGGACCCTATTGGCTAATGCTGTCTGCACTTCCTTGAGTACTCTACCATTCCCTTCACTGGTCACTGTTAGACATCTTGGGGGCCTGGTAGAAGGTCCACTTGTGGATCAGGTACCCATCTGAATGGGCTCTCCACTATATGGGGTGGAAAGGCGGTGGAAAGATGACATACTGGAATGAAATCAGACCTTTGGATTAATCTTAAATTCTACTACAGTATAGATTTTAGGAGGCTAGTTGCATCAAATTTCAGTGGTCATTCTTTATGCAAACTGGAAATCCAATCATTACATTAGACTGCAATATAATTGTAATACAAATTGAACTGCAGCCCTGATACAGGCTACAATCCTCCTCAAGTTAACAATACCTCATCACAAGTTACTAATTAGATACCACAAAACCTCCAAGAGATACACATTTTAATTCTTATTTTACTTGGAACTTGCAGGCTGAAGAAATATTTCATTAGCTTAAAGTCCTTTATGTAGGGGGAAATGTCTGGATATAAACATATTGGTATTGTTGAACCTGGTGTGAAATAGTGCTAAATATTAATTTTGCCTTTCTACAAATGATATATAATTAGAAATGTCCCAGAGCCCAGGAGTTTGTATCTGACCTTTTCCCAGTGTTGAAGGATGTTCAGAACCAGGGTTTTGGTTAGATCTTCTCTCTAATACAAGATGCTTAGAACAGACTAATTGGGAAAATCTGTTTTGACCTTCATAATTTTCTTTGTTTGGTCTCGTCTGATTTAGGGCTTGTTCCTATCAGCTTCTGAGCCCTCTCATCCTGATCCTGGAAAGCAATTAAGCATGTGCTTAATTTTAAGTATGTGAGCAGTCACTGAATGGGCCCACTCAGATGTTCAAAGTTAAGCATCTACTTAACTGCTGTGCTGGACTGGGGCCAAAGTGCTCATCCCTCCGGAAGAAGTTGTGGCAGTGAATATATATTGTTCTGTGTTGTATACAGATAAAATGCTATATAAGTTATTAATTTGTATTATTGTTATTAACATGCTGCCCTTATTTTCAAGCAAATTCCTGGTGAATTTAATGGGAATTTGCCTGAGCAGGGACCCCAGGATTTGGCCTAATAATAATAATATCCATTCTAAGAAGCCAGGAAAGGAAGCGGTAGATAAGTGGCAGAGAAAGACTGACAGAGCCCCAGGAGACTAACCTTTGGCTTGTTACTGGTATCTAGAAATACGATTCTAGCAAAACGTTAGGAAAGTCAAGTCATGGATTCATTCAAGTAGGAAAATAGCAGCCAGGAGCATTAAGCATACAGTAAGTGTCTGAGAAAACTAATTTTCTGTGGCGTATTACTGATAGTATATGTCATTCTTTTAATGAGTTTGGTTTGGTGAACTGGGCTCTGTCTGAGCTTTCAGATTGTCTGGACTGTCTGCATCGAGTAAAGCACTATCTTGACTATACAGGATCAAACTTGATGGGGGAATTTTGGTAATTGTTCTTTTGCAAATTTTGAAACATCACTCTTTTATGGAGACATTTTGTACGAAGTCATTTTCCCTACCATTTCAAATAATTCAAAGATGCCCTCTTCATAAAGAAACACATACTGTAGCTAAAATGTAAAAAAATTGCTTGTTCTTCATACTCATGTTAATGTCTACCGAAGAAGCAAAACAAAAATTCAGTCTGATTTTCATGAAACTTGCCATGACAATTGACCTTGGTATGAATAGGAGAAAGTATGTTTAATCTTCATAGATACCCGGCTAAATTAATAGAGTTGTACTCACTTCTGACAGCAGTGAATGCCACTAAGAACAGAAGTGTTGAAGCCACTCAGCATTTCTGAAAAATCAGGACACTTCTATTCAGGAGGTTAAATGGGGATTTAGAAATCTAACTTGAGGCACCTGGCCATGAACATTTTGGTCTTTACTTACTTTGGAAAGTATTTTAAATAATTTTTGCTTAGCCTCAACCACTCAGCATTTTTAAGAGTTTTATTTGTCACAGAATGAACACTAGAGGGCATCTTTGTTTTTCTAGACCTAAAACCACGTCATGTTTTATGAAATAATAAGTCTTTTAGATTTCTTAGTGGTCTAATTATGTGCTTTCAGTGTAGATACAGTTCTGAAAGACATTCCTACTCTGGAAAACATACTACCCAAGGGGTCAAAGATTGGGCAGTCAGAAACTGAGAGACAACTTTGGAAAGATTAACAGAATATGAGGATCAACTACGCTGTTCAGATTTTGACTGACAAATGCACATCTCATCATGCATTTCTGAATATGCATATGGTATGCCCGACTCTAGGATAATTATTACTCCTGTGCTTCTTACTTTTGTTATGTACTGACCACTTAAGTTAGGGATGGAATTTCTGAAGTAACTCTCTGCCTCCTGGCTTTTAAAGTTTAAATTCAATCCTTGATATTATTTAGCACAATTTTTGTTCAGCAGATCAATATTATAATATTAGGGACTTGTAAAAATATAGAAAAAAATTGTATTAAAGATACAACTGCTTTTCCTGAAAAGATCCTGGGATTGAGTACCTGTCATATAGCAAAATAGTCAAAGAAATACTTACACTCTCACTCTGAAAAGGGTTTAGGAAATTTCCACCCATTTCACCATCATCTCTGGGAGTGCCAGGCTGATTACTCATGCTCATATTACTGGGAGAGTTCTGGTAAATAAGATTTAAAAATAAAGGGTAAGTATGTTGTAGATTTGAATTCCTTTCCTTGCTTCATAATGTTTGTCAAAACAACACCTACACTACCCACTGGAATCTCTGAAAATGACACAGAATATATCTTGCCATCACAGCTCTGCACTACATATATTTGAATGAATGTTTGTAATCTGGAAAAAGCTGTTTCCCGCCTATAAAATGAAGAAAATTACTTACCTGTAGTTCTTGTTCTCAGGTTAGGCCTGGAACATTTTCCCACTGAAGTCAGTGGAAAAACTACACTTGACTTCATTGGGAGCAAGATTATGCTCTGTCATTAAAATAAATCACTATTGCCCTGATTCAGCAATCAAGTTTATGCGTAACTTTAAGTGCATGAGTAGTGTTCACATGCTTAAGTACCTTGCTGAATGAAGGCCTATATTTGGGGTCTCCACCACTAATGTGTGGCTGGTTGGGAATTACCCCAAGATCACAGTTATGAGCTGCTAAACCACTTCACCAATGGATGTTATGCACATACTATACCTGCTGCTGAATATAACAGACAGACACCATCCTGACTGTAAGCTCTTTGGGGCTTATTATCACAATCTATAATCCACGAACAACCCCCCACACCAGCTGCCTTTCTCCCCTCCCTTCCTTTTCCCCATATGACTGGAGGGGTGTTAATGGGCCACTTCACCTTGAATGGTCCCTTGACATATGTATTAACAACTTACGGTAAACAATTTGTTCCACCTTGTATTCAGCTATGACAATCTGAGTACTTTTCCCAGACCTGGAGAAGAGCTCTGAGTAGCTCAAAAGCTTGTCTCTCTCATCAACAGAAGTTGGTCCAATAAAACATATTACCTTACCCACCTTGTCTCTCTTAGAACAAAGAAGATACTTTCACTCTAAGGCTATGTCTACACTAGCACTTTTGTCGGTATAACGTATGTCGCTCAGGGGTGTGAAAAACCACCCTCCTGGGTGACATCAGTTACACTGACAGAAGCGCCGGTGTGGACAGCACTATGTTGGTGGGAGCACCAACATAGCTACTGTCACTCTTTGGGGGTGGTTTAACTATGTCGACGAGAGAGCTGTGATGCTGTAACGTCTCTAGTGTAGACATGGCCTAAACCCCTACTGTCAGGTGCTTCTAACTTTTTCAAAAGCTAGTCATTGGGCTGAAATTTCTTCTGCTTCCCTTCAGCTAGAGCAAGGTAATGTATGTTGAAAAAAGTGAACCTGCAGTTTGATTCAGCATGGTTTTGCCATGAAACAACCTTTTCATGTTAGTGTGGAGGTATGAAACTGATGAACTTGAACCTCCAAGGGAACAGTTTGCTATCTTCATTCTGGGAATCATCTACTTCCCTTCTCTCAGTGTAGGTATTCTGCAATAAGCCTGGAGGTGGTCTTGCAAGAGCTCATGCTCTAGAGAACCTACAAGTTCTGGCACTTCACCTGCTATGGTATGTAGCTAGGGGGTCTCTGCTAATAGGTTAACTCCAATTGACTTCAGTGGGGATAAGAGTGGGCCCTATAATTATAATAGCTCACTATATTTTTTAGTTTGTGCTACCAGTGTGCTTAATAACCTCAAAATTGCTCAAAGTTATGAGCTACTAAACCACTTTACTAGTGGACATTTGATACAGGTGTTTTGCATAGCTTTACTTTTAACCCAAAGTTGCATGTTTTCTTCAGAAAGCTTTAAAAATCTTGTTAGTTTTTTTCTAAAAGTTATTTAAATGCGTTTTTCACTTGGGTAACAAAAAAGGTTTTGTTTTAACAGTTAAATGGAGCAAGTGTGTATTATTATTAAGGAACACTGATTTCTCATGTGTGAAAATAGCTGGTTGAAAAATAAAGAAGTCACAAAATGTAACAGTATGGTGCTTGAGTGCAGTATGTTACTTTCCTTTCTGAATTAACTATGCACTGATTGCCAGATAGCAGCTGGCATGAGTAAGCCTATATGTGGATAGCTCAGGGATCGGCAACCTTTGGCACGCCGCTCGCCAGGGTAAGCACCCTGGTGGGCCGGGCCGGTTTGTTTACCTGCCGCGTCCGCAGGTTCGTCCGATCGCGGCTCCCACTGGCCGCGGTTCGCCGCTCCAGGCCAATGGGGGCTGCGGAAAGCGGAGGGGGCCGAGAGATGTGCTGGACGCCTCTTCCCGCCGCCCCCATTGGCCTGGAGCAGCGAACCGCGGCCAGTGGGAGCCGCGATCAGCCGAACCTGAGGACGCGGCAGGTAAACAAACTGGCCCGGCCCGCCAGGGAGCTTACCCTGGCGAGCCGTGTGCCAAAGGTTGCCGATCCCTGGGATAGCTACACCTTCACAGAAAAATACATTCATGTCAGTGATTCAAAATACATGTAAGACCTTTCAAATAAATGCACTCTGTATTCAGTGGGGTTGACTCTTTGATTGAAACAAATGCAGACGGGGTAAAATTCCACTTGTTGGAGAAAGGTCACTGTCAGGTGCTACATCACAGAAGACCGGTAGTATCCCTCTTGGGTAAGGAGGGCAGCCTCAATATCTACTATGCAGAAGGGCTTTGAGGTGGCTCAAAATATGTTGGTGGGCAGGCCAGGGGGAGGGGTTACTGGAGCTCTGCTTACATGGATCCCGATACCAGAAACACCCCCATGTGGGACAGAAGTACAGCAACGGCTACTCCAGCTTGAAGGCTGCATCAATGACTATGGAGGGGTGCAGAGAAGTTGGGGGTATGGATTATATCCACCCCCAACCACTAGGCTCCAATTTACATATGCTTTGGGGGGGGGGGAGGAGTTGTGAGTTTCATGCATAAAACATTTATTATAGGAATCACGGTTCTTCTTTTTTCATTTTTAACCAAAAACTTAAATGCAAAAAGCATGCCAATGTAATATTACTGCTGAGATTGCCAGGAGGCTCAAAGTTTGGATAATCACATAAAACCTAATGCAGTCATCTATCACATAACATACATTCTATCAAGTCATGTAAGTTAACACTATATAGCATAGCACAAAATACTACATTTGCGCAAGGAGACCAAGTTACCCTTGCTATGAGAATTATAACTCAATTTGTCATCTTTTGTGCATGTTAAATCTCAACTACATTAACATCTGTTTAATACAAAGATTTTTTTAAAGCTTGTTTATATCAGAACACATTCTTCTATTAAAATAAACGCACAGAAACATCATTCAGTGACAGTTAAGGTTGAATCAGGACACACTCCCACCAATTTAGAATCCAAAAAGCAAGTTAAGGGAAAAGTCTCCTGCATTCCTTGCCACTCTCATATAACCTACAGTGATATTGATAACATACTCCAACACTCTATAAGGCTTTCACTTCCACCTCCATGCAGATACTGAAAAACAATATGACTCCAACTTCATCAAACTCAAACTTTGGTGCAAAACCTTAACAATGGCTAAAATGCTTTTCTATCAACAAATCAGCACATCTAACTGTCACACACTTAATACACTTAGGCCTGGTCTACACTAGGAGGTTATGTCGAATTTAGCAGCATTAAATCGAATTAACCCTGCACCCGTCCACACAATGAAGCTATTTAGTTCGACATAGAGGTCTCTTTAAATCGATTTCTGTACTCCTTCCCGACGAGGGGAGTAGCGCTAAATTTGACATGGCCAGGTCGAATTTGGGTAGGTGTGGATGGAATTCGACGCTAATAGCTCCGGGAGCTATCCCACAGTGCACCACTCTGTTGACGCTCTGGACAGCAGTCCGAGCTCGGATGCTCTGACCAGCCACACAGGAAATGCCCCGGGAAAATTTGAATTCCTTTTCCTGTCTGGCCAGTTTGAATCTCACTTCCTGTTTGGACATCGTGGCGAGCTCAGCAGCACTGGCAACGATGCAGAGTTCTCCAGCAGAGGTGACCATGCAATCGCAGAATAGAAAGAGGGCCCCAGCATGGACTGATCGGGAAGTCTTGGATCTGATCGCTGTGTGGGGCGATGAGTCCGTGCTTTCAGAGCTGCGATCGAAAAAACGGAATGCGAAGATCTACGAGAAGATCTCCAAAGCCATGACGGAGAGAGGATACAGCCGGGATGCAACGCAGTGCCGCGTGAAAATCAAGGACCTGAGACAAGGCTACCAGAAGACCAAAGCAGCAAACGGACGCTCCGGATCCCAGCCCCAGACATGCCGTTTCTACGAGGCACTGCATTGCATTCTAGGTGCGGCCGCCACCACTACCCCACCACTGACCATGGACTCTGATGATGGGGTATTGTCGACGGCCGCTTCCTCGGAGATGTTCGCGGACGGGGAAGATGAGGAGGACGAGGCAGTCGACAGCGCTTACAACGCTGATTTCCCCGACAGCCAGGATCTCTTCATCACCCTCACGGAGATCCCCTACCAACCCTCCCAAGGCGTTAACCGTGACCCTGAATCAGGGGAAGGATCAGTCGGTAAGTGTTTTAAACATGTAAACATTTATTTGGAACAGAACAGGAATGGAATATTAACAATGGGTTTTTCATGATTACTTTGCCCTAGGCGCTTAAGTTTTTAGTCCTTGCCAGTGCAACTACTGCAAAAGAATCTCAAAATGTCTGGTTTTTCATGATTAGTTTGCCCTAGGCGCTCTACTTTTTAGTCCTTGCCAGTGAAGCTACTGGAAAATTAGGTCAATGTGTCCGGGGATAGAGCTGAAATCCTCCTGGGACATCTCCACGAAGCTCTCCTGGAGGTAATTTGAAAGCCTTTGCATCAGGTTCCTGGGGAGAGCGGCCTTATTGCGTCCTCCATGGTAGGAAACTTTTCCGCGCCAGCCTAGCAGCAAGTACTCTGGGATCAGTGCCTCGCACAGCATGGCCACATACGGCCCTGGTTTTTGCTGGCATTCACGCAGCATGCGGTCTGTCTCAGTGTCAGAAATCCTCATCAGAGTGATATCACTCATGGTGACCTGCTTTAAATTAGGGGAATGTTAGTATTGGGACTGATTGCC